TTAAACTATGGCCATGACGCAGTATTTCCAGTAGAAATTTGTCTGCAGCCAACAAGAATTCAGAAACATTAGGATATCCTTTCCGAAGCTTATTGGAATATGATGATAGACGAATTGGTTGATTTGGAAGAAGAAAGACTGAGAGCTTTAGATCTCTTAAGGATACAGAAGAAAAGAGTGGAAAAATCTTACAATAAAAGAGTAAAACCCAAGACATTCTTGCCTGAGGATCTGGTATGGAAGGTAATTCTCCCAATGGATCGAAAGGATAGAAATATGGGAAAATAGTCTCCTAAATGGGAAGGACCTTTTAAGATTATCCAAACATTGTCTGGTGGTGTATATGAGATTGAAGAGTTAAATGAAGATCAAAGGCTCTTGAGAGTAAATGGTAAATACTTGAAAAAGTATAGACCTGTACTTCAAGAGGTCAAAATAACCAATGTTTAATCTCAGTCGAAGTAAAGAGCTAAAATGGAAAATGCATTAAGCAGCCAAAATTGCTATAAGTCATTACATAAACATCGTTTTACAAATAAGAAGGCTAAATCAAAATGGGAGATTGTCTTTAATTTGTTTATAATGGCCACCATGGCAGCATGCAAACGACTGACTGATAGTGGCGTCTTAGGAAAAGGGTAATGATGACTCTGAATACCAGAAGTGGTTGGTAGAAGATGAAAAGTGCACGATTGACTTTTGTGGCCAAAAAGAAGACACGTGTCGAATGGGAATATCAAAGAATGACCATTTCTTCTGGCGTCGAAATTGACGTTCTTGGGGGGCAATTTCTTAGCTCCTAAATTCGTCACCTACACATGTTCGTCCTACTGGCCAAGAATAGGTTGAAGAAATCTAAAGTTAAAGACGCTTCGACAGATGAGTCCGTGATGTTAGTTATGTCGAAGCTATGCTAAGAAGAGAAGAAATACTTAGATAAATTTTCTAAGTTAAAAGGGGTGTTCGACCAAGAAGCCTTTGCCCTTCGACCAGGGAACTTCGTATCAGCAACAAGTGATTTTGAATCTGAATAAAGGAGGGAAAAGTAGTTCACCTGGCAGTTGAAGAAAGCAACGTGGCATAAGGACAGAAGTCGAAGTGCATGTAGAGGACACTTGTCCTCATCTTAGAGCGAGGCAACTCCTCGACGATTACCTAGTTCTAGTATAAATATAGGGATTCTATGTAGATTTCCGTGTGTTAAACTAATTGTATAAGTAACTCAATACTATTCGAGTACCCGCTGTGTGAGAATGAATACTGAGAATGTAAGTTTGAAAGACCACATTTTATAATCAAAGTCTTTTACATTCCTTTTTACATTCCTTGCCATTCTTGCTTACAGCCTTTTATCTTACTTGTAAAGTTTATTTTCCCTTGCATTTTACTTGCACTTTTTACCAGATTTCTACACTTAAACTTATCTCAAACCTCTACCTTTCTCAATCGAATGTGTTCTTTATTAAAATTAGAATTTTTATCAAAAAAACACAAATATTTAGCATATGTCATAGGATCAAACTGATCAATCGTGCAAGTAACCAAAAATTACCCTTTTTCGAAGATCAGCGGTTGTTTACCAATTTTCACGGTAAACAATGGTACACGGAGAGGTGGATCTCCCGATTAAAGTAGGTTTGCAGGTCTTCGAATCGACATTCTATGTAATGGACATTCATCCAGCCTATTCTTATTTACTTAGACGCCCTTGGATCCATGGGGCAGGTGTTGTCACTTCCACATTACATCAAAAGATGAAACATCCTGTGGAAGGAAAGATTGTTATAGTTTGTGGCAAAGAAGATTATATGGTTAGCCACTTAAACTCATTCAAATATGTTGAGATGGGCGGCGAATTCATCGAGACTACCTGTCAGACTTTTGAAATTATCCCTCATACCGCTATTGAAGATGTTTCTGCTATTCCCAAGGTTACCAGGGCTCCACCCAGAATGGCTTCTTTGAAGGATGCTAGAGTTATGGTGGAAAAAGGTGGATGCACTACTTGGGGTCATCTTCCTGACATTCCTTACAAGTATGACAAATTTGGTTTGGGTTTCACTGTAGAGGCTTAGAGGACTATTCGTAGTGCTCGTGTTGGAAGACCACCATTCCACATTAGCAACAAAAGATTCAACACAGTAGAAGATGCTGATAGTGACTACGACCTAGACAAATGGATTTTTCCCACCATCGACAACGAGCTTAGCAACTGGAAGACTAAATATGTTATACCAATCTCCTTTAGTTAGGAGTAAATGTTACTTTCTGTTTTATTGCTTTCAAGTTTGGTTATGTAATTTTAAAATAATAACTTTAAGCCTTGTGCATTAACCGGGGAACAATGGTTCATTTGTTAGGATTGTCATTTTATTAATATATTTTCATTCAATAAATCATTGGACGTTTTCATTCAAATTTAATGCTCTTTGTCTTTATTATGTTTTATCATTTTCAAACTATATGTGTTCTTACACACACCCACGTGATAAATTGCAGATCCACATCCACTCTAGATCCCATTTATAACAATTCTACTATTGCCACTTATGACTTTGAAAGTCCGATCTAACGAGCTGAGGACGAAGGTGAGGAAGATTGCAAAGTACCTGGAGAGATTTCTAGGATGTTAATGCAAGAAGAAAGATCCATACAACCGCATGAAGAGCCAGTTGAGATTGTGAACTTGGGTACTGAAGAGGACAAGAAAGAGGTTAATATAGGTGCCAATCTAGAAGACAATGTCAAGAATAGATTAACTCATATGTAGCACGAATATGTTTAAATATTTGCTTGGTCATACAAAGACATGCCAGGGCTTGATACTGATATTGTGGTTCACCGTCTACCGATGAGAGAAGGGTGTTCTCCAATAAAGCAGAAGGTTCGTCGTATGCGTCTCGAGATGTCTAAAAATATCAAAGCTGAGGTTATGAAGCAGTTAAATACATGTTTCTTGGATATTACATCTTATCCCAGTGGGTTTCAAATATGATGCAAGTACCTAAGAAGGATGGAAAAGTGTGTGTGTGTATGTAGACTACATGGATCTGAACAGGGCAAGCTCCAAAGATGACTTTCCACTCCCGCATATTGATGTTCTGGTTGACAACACCACTAACCACAAAGTATTCTCCTTCATGGATGGTTTCTCAGGTTATAATCAGATCAAGATGGCACCTGAAGACATGGAGAAGACTACTTTTGTCACACAGTGCGGCACTTTTTGCTACAAGGTTATACCTTTCGGGTTAAAGAATGTTGGTGCAACATATCAATGTGTTATGGTAGCCTTGTCCCATGACATGATACATCACGAGATATAGTTTTATGTTGACGACATGATAGCCAGATCTCATACTGAAGAAGAACATCTCGACCACCTACACAAGTTGTTTGAAAGAATGAAGAAGTAAAAGCTGAGATTGAATCTGAACAAGTGCACTTTTGGGGTAAGATCCGGTAAACTCATAGGTTTCATTGTTAGTGGTAAAGGTATTAAAGTTTATCCCTGAAAGATAAAACCCATTCAAGAAATTCTAGCTCCCCGTACTGAGAAGGAAGTCAGAGGTTTCTTGGGACGACTGAACTATATTGCCAGATTTATTTCTCATTTGACCGCTACTTGTCAGTCGATCTTCAAGTTGCCAAAGAAAGATCAGGTAGTGAAGTGGAACGAAGATTGTCAGATAGCTTTTGACAAAATCAAGGAGTACCTCCAAGAACCTTCAATTCTGATGCCACCAGTTGAAGGAAGACATGTGATCATGTACCTAACAGTGTTAGAGAACTCAATGGGGTGTGTACTAGGCCAACATGATGAGTTTGGTCGAAAAGAGCATGCAATATACTACCTTAGCAAAAAGTTTATCGACTATGAAACAAGATACTCACTGCTCGAGAAAACTTGTTGCGCTTTGGCATGGGCTTCTCGCTGACCAAGAAAGTATATGTTGACTCATACCACTTTGTTGATCTCTAAAATGGATCCTATAAAATACATATTCGAGAAACCAACTCTCTTCGGAAGGATATCCAGATGGAAAATGGTCTTAACAAAATACGACATTCAGTATACAACTCAGAAGGAAATCAAAGGAAGTGTATTGGCGGATCATTTGGCTTACCAAGCTGTAGACGACTATCATTCTATGAATTTTGAGTTCCCGAATGAGAATATCATGCTAATTACAAATTGTAAAGAACCTGGACCGTATGAAGGACCCGATTTGGGATCCCGATGGACTATGGTTTTCGATGGATCTTCTAACGCGCTTGGTAACAGAATTGGTGTTATGATTATCTCTCCCAAAGGTTGACATACACCGTTTACCGCTAGACTATGTTTTGATTGTACCAACAATATGGCCGAGTACAAATCATGCATCATAGGCATCAAAGTCGCTATTGATATGAGAATCAAGTTTTTATATGTATATGGGGACTCAGCCTTAGTCATCAGTCAAATCAAGGGAGAATGGGATATGAAGCATCCAAATCTCATTCCTTATCGGGAGCATGCATTGGCATTAGTTTCGTACTTCGAGGAAATCACTTTTGAACATATCCCACGAGAAGAGAATCAATTGGCAGATGCATTGGCAACCATGCCATTTATGTTCAAAGTCAGATGGGACAACGAGGCTCATTGAATTACTATTGAGAGATTGGATGAACCAGCACATTGCTACGAGGTTGATACTGACAGAGTAGAGGAAAAGCCTTGGTTTCATGAAGTAAAGAGATACCTCGAGGCTCAATAGTACCCAAAGGGGCGTATATTAATGACAAGAAATTTATATGAAGGTTCTCTGCTAAATTCTTCCTGAGAAACAAAAGTTTATACAAGCGCAATCATGATTCGACTCTACTTTGTTGTGTAGACAAGAAGGAAGTTGAGAAGATTATGGAAGATATGCATGAAGGGGTCTTTGGTACTCATTCTAGTGGGTACACGGTGACTAAAAAAAATTCTTAGAGCGGGTTATTATTGCTTGACCATGGAAACTGATTGCCATCTCCATTCCATAACTTGTCACAAATGCCAGATTTATGCTGACAAAGTACATGTTCCTCTGGTTCCTCTGAATGTCTTGACTACTCCTTGGCCATTTGCAATGTGGGGCATTGATATGATTGGAGAAATTAAGCCTATTGCTTCTAACAGACATCCTTTCATCCTTGTCGCTATTGACTATTTCAAAAAATGGGTCGAAGCAGCCTCATTTGCCTCTGTTACCAACAATATTGTGACCTGATTCATTAAGCATAACCTTATCTGTCGGTATGGCATCACTGAAAGGATTATTGTGATTGGTGGATCTGGAACTGACTGTTTAACGCTGGTTTCGCGAAATGTCGCGGAAGCAAGAGTCGCCACCGTCTTTTATTTTCTCCAACACGGACAGGACAAAAGCACAACAAAATTCCTTATGAGATTATCTCTCGGTTCGGGAGGTAGATTTATAGAAAGGGAACGTGTTAGCACCCTTTCTATCCATGGTTATCCATGGGCTCTTAGATACTTGCTCATTTGTGTTTTCAAAACTGTTTGTTTGTTTTTCAATTGTGAGTGGGTTTGAAAAAGTTTCTTTGAAAGTTTCAGATCGACTCTTGTATCAGTCCTCAAGAGTGTTTGAAAAATCGTCTTGAAAGCTTTTTGAAAAGTGTCGGTGTGAAAAGAAGTTCTGATTTGTTTTGAATTAGAGCAAGTTTCTACGAGTCATCTACCTACCCTAAGGAATTAGGCTGTGTAAATGTCCTTAAGGTAGTGCCATCCCACCATTGAGAGGTAGTGTTGGCTCCTAAATTCGACACCCTTGTTTTATTAATGTCAGCCATTAAAGCTGAAGGATGTTTTCGACTAGCTAGGTCTGTCGAAATGCCCATCGAAATATGGCAAGGTACTTAAAAGATTTCTTCTAAGGGAGAAGTTGGTTGCCTTCGACGTCGAAGGAGTTTTCTCGTCGAAGATGTTTCTCGACGAAGATGTTCGATGGTTCAGAGTGGAGCAGTTTGAAATTCAAGCGTTTGGAGGGAAAACGGTTTCCAGCGGTTACCAAGTGCAACGTGCAAAGATCTGGGGCGTCGAACATTGAGAACGTGCCAAGTGGACTCATCTCGAAGCAGTGTAACTGCCCGACGGTTACTTGGGATGTTTCAGTATAAATAGTAGTAGTCATGTAGTTTCTCGTGTGTGTTCACAATTCTATACAAAGTCACTCATATAGATTCGAGTACCCAGCGTGTGAGAAAGAATTGTTGAGAAATGTATGTGTGAAACACCAACTTTATTAATCAAAGTCATTTACTTTTCCAGAAATTTACTTGCTTTCCTCTTTACTTTCCTGTCGAAGCCTTTCATTTAAAGCCTTATTTATTTTACCAAGTCCTTCCTTCATGCAATTTACTTAAAGCCTCTTTATTTTATTGTCACTTAACCCATAGCCAATTTAATCCAAAACTTCAAAATCAACCTATGTCCTAGGATCAATCTGATCGATCCTGCGAGTAACCAAATAAGTAACCATTTGGAGGATCAGCGGTTGTTTACCAAATACCAAGGTAAACAAATTGGCACACCCGGTGGGACCGTGTGTTGATTGTTGAAAATAATCTCATCTCTTCGAGGAGTGTTGTATGTTATTGAGAAGTGGTAGAATATACACTAACGATAACGATACTGCCAGAAGAAGGGAAGAAATGGCGAATCCGCCAAACAATAACGAAATCCCACAAACGAGTGTGGGAGCAACGGTTAGTACGACCGTAAGTGAAGCGACAACTGTTGGTTCGACACCAGCAGTAACGGTCACAGCAACGGGGCCGTTACTTTCGTTCACAGGCCCCAGAGCGCCTTTGGGAACTCCCCCACCAAGGGGAAATTTAGGCACAAGGCCTTTTGTTCCCCCAGGATTTATGCCACTCTATGGTATGCCAACTTCTGAATTGGCTAGCCTGACGAATGCTACGTCCACTTTTTCAGACCCTTTAGTGAGTGCCTCTTCGCCACTCCAAGGTTCTGGAGTAGGCATGGCGAATAGAAATAGGACCCAACTCTTAGGAGGAACGTCCCAAGTAGCCCATGGCCTTACAAATGCCTCGACAACAGTCTTGAGGCAACAAATGGACGAAAGCAACCATGATATGGTGCAAATGTTGGCACAAACTTTGAGTACAGTGCTAAACCCTCTAATACAAAACACTACTCAATCGAATCAGCAAGTGACAGCGCAAATGACGCGTTTGGCTGATTTCTTTGGAGTACCCCAACCTATTCGACAGCCCCAAAGGGCGCAAATAAGGGGAAACCAGGGGATATTCTTAGAGGAAGAAACCACCATCAACCAGGCTCAACAGCCTGTCGAAGAAAACCTTAGGGCACGATTGGATCAACCTGTCGAGGAACCTAGGGTAATAACTCCAGAGGTAAGGTTAGTTAACAGAAACCAAAATGCTGACGAAGTAGTTCAGCATGTCCAATACCAAAACATGGGTTTGGAAAATAATCTGGCAACCATGATCGAAAGGATCATGATTCAAAATGGGATGAACATGGGCTTTCGAAGGCCCAACTTTACATCTCCATTGTCAGAGTACGTGTTACAAACAGACTTACCTCCTAGATGCAAAGTTCCCAAATTTACTAAGTTTTCTGGGGACACGACAGAATCTACTGTCGAGCATGTGGCGAGATACTTGATCGAAGCAGGTGACATTTCGAATAACGAAAACCTGAGGATCAAGTACTTCCCAAGTTCTTTAATAAAGAACGCTTTTACTTGGTTTACGACTCTGCCCCCCAATTCGATCCATCATTGGACCCAGTTGGAAAGATTGTTCCGTGAACAATTCTACATGGGGCAAACCAAGATAAGCCTGAAAGAATTGGCCAGTGTGAAGCGACGTTTCACTGAACCTATAGACGAATATCTAAATAGGTTTAGGTTGCTCAAGGCGAGATGCTTTACACAAGTGCCAGAACATGAGTTAGTCGAAATAGCCGCAGGCGGTTTAGATTATTCCATTAGGAAAAAGCTAGACACCCAATACCTGAGAGACATGGCCCAACTGGCCGATAGAGTTCGACAGGTAGAACGCCTCAAAGCTGAAAAAGCAAAGGCAACGAAAACTCACAAGAGAGAGAGGATATCGTACGTTGAGATGGATGACGAAGATCCGGAATCCTTCGACGATACTTTATCTGTCGAAGAAGGAGAAGTCGATTTAGCAGAGCTGAAACAAGGGCCACCATACTCTTGTAAACTGTTAGTCCCCTCAAGTGGGAAAAATCCCATTGGTCCAGAAAGGACCAACGATAGGTTCCCCAAAAAGACTTATAGTTTTGACATCACAAAATGTGATGAAATATTCGACTTGCTGGTTAAAGATGGCCAAATGATAGTACCCCCAGGGGTAAAAGTGCCTCCTCTTGATCAAAGAAAGAAGAGAGGTTTTTGCAAATATAATAATTTTTTGGGCCATAAAACTTCTCAATGTTTTCTTTTCAGGAATCTTGTGCAAGACGCTATCGAAGAAGGGAGGTTGAAGTTTGCTGACAAAACCCCCATGGCTGTCGACTCAAATCCATTGCAGGCTGAAGCCCACTATGCTGAGCCCTCTGAGGTGAACGTGATAGAGGCAACCAGGAGCCAGTCGAAGAAGCCAGGAATCACAATGGTCGAAGTCTCAAAGGACCACATCAACATGCCAATCTTTGGCAGTTTTTCTGGAAATTTATCCAGGAAGACAATTGGAGCAGTTTAGAAAGAGGTCGAAAGCCCGAAGTTAGAGACCGCTGAAGCACAAAAAACTGGACCAAAACCCAGTTCCCACTTGGCCACAGTTCCAGGCCAGACGGAGAATCTGGAGATACAAATGAAGCAGTTAACTCTTGCTAACAAAGATACAATGAATATCAACATGGTCGAACTTTCTGACCCAAAAGCATCAGAAGAGGCCATGAGGCAAGAGCAAGCTAATAAGACTGCTTTCCCTCGGGAAAATGAAAATTTGGCAGATTTTTTACAAAGATGCCAGAAAAAGAAATCAGAGGTGATGCTGTGTCCAAGATGCAGTTCGATCTTTGACAAAAAAGCTGCTGAGCACATTCAAGGCGTAAGAGCAGCGAATAAGAAAAGGGAAAATGTTGATCTTCGACATGATCCCAGAAGAGCCTCCCAAAGAGGTTCAAACCAAGAAAAGAGGCCATTGACTTTTAGGCCTCCCACAAATGTGCCAGTAGATACTTGGTACAAAACCTCTGGTCGAAAAAGGCCAAGTGAGGAGAAATGGCACTCTTTCGACGTGCCAAGGGGTTCCTCTTTGACTCAAAAGAAAGAGCCTCAGGTTGCTGCACCTAAAGTTGCACAAGTGTCAAGCAACTACAAAGGTAAAAATCCCATGTCTCGATCTCAATGGAGGAGATACCAAAGGAGACGAAAAGCTGAAAGGGAGGCTGCCAACGAACCAAAGGCAGAAACTAGTTCGAATGTTCCTCAAAGGAAGCAAAGGAAACCTCTAGAAAGAGAGCCAGTAACCAACAGGCTAGTTTGGCCTAACCAAAGTGAAGTCGAAGACGAAGACGATTCTGAGTCTGATGATACTTTAGACATAATGGTGAATATAGTCTCAGTGCTGCCCAGAGAATTCAACCAACAGGTGGAGGTCGAAGTAAGTGACTGGGAAGTGGAGCAGGAAATGGCCAAACATAGGCCAGTGTGCTATTTTGTTATGGACAATGGCACCACTGAGGAACAAAATGGGTTCTTCGAGCCACCTACAGAGGCGATGAAAAATCACCTCAAGCCTTTATTCATAAGGGCTAAACTCGAAGAAACTACTGTGAATAAAATATTGGTGGATTGTGGGGCAACCATCAACATTATTCCTCACTCTATGCTAAGGAGAATTGGCAAAAGGGATGAGGACATTAAGCCTCACAACATGGTCTTGTCGAACTATGAGGGCGGCATAGGGACCACTATAGGAGTGATCCAGCTAGATATCAAAGTAGGGTCTATCCTTCGACCAACAATGTTCATGGTCATATCGGCCAAACCTAACTATAATCTTTTGTTGGGCTGTGAATGGATTCATGGTGTTGGAGCTGTGCCATCATCAATGCATCAGAGGCTGCTCCTATGGCGTCCAGATGGGATGGTCGAAAACATAGAGGCAGATCAAAGTTATTACCTGGGCGAAGTGAATCACCTAGGGTTGGCAGATTTCGACAAGAACTTGGCTCACATAGGGCCATGTCCAACACCTGACTTCGACATGGCGCCAGCGCCAAACACTTTTTGTTCCCTATACCTGCATCCTGAGCATGGTTTCAAATGGGACAGAGAAGACTTGTCCCACATAGACTTCAGTGGGTTAACTGATATCCAACCAACTGGTTGGGGAAGTGAATTCAGTGATAATGACTGAGTCACAATCTTTGAAGCGAATTTCGGCTTATGTAGCCGAAACTAAGATGATAACGGCTCTCGAAGCCGAAGTGAAGTACATGGCCACACAGGCTAATGATCAACAGTTATCTGCTGCAGGTCCAGGAAAGGATTTCGATCCAAAACCCCCTGATATCGTGCGAGAAGAAATGCAGGAAAAGAGGCTCGACGCCATTTATGACGATGAGCCTTTGGGCTTCGAAAAGGACCCCTTGGCGAACAACATTAAAATGTTAGCGCAAGATCCTTTAGAAGAAATCAACTTAGGCGAAGGGTCAGAGAAAAGGCCAACTTACATCAGCGCCAAAATTGATCCAGAACTTAGGTTGGAAGTAATCCAATTGCTGAAAGAGTTCAAAGACTGTTTTGCATGGGATTATGACGAAATGCCTGGTCTCGACAGAGGATTGGTAGAACTTCAGTTGCCAATCAAACCTGGGAAGAAGCCAATCAAGCAAAATCCAAGGCGCTTCGCTCCAGAAATACTGTCGAAGATCAAAACGGAAGTCGAAAGACTGCTGAAATGCAAATTCATACGTGTTACAAGGTATGTCGAATGGATTGCAAACATTGTGCCAGTAATTAAGAAAAATGGTACGTTAAGGGTGTGCATAGATTTCAGAGATTTGAATGCTGCTACACCCAAA